GGCGTTGGCCTCCCACGTGCGCGCTTATCGCGCCCGTCAACTGCTCTCGCGCCGATTGTCGCGTCCTCGCCCATCGCGCGCTTGTTGCGCACGCCGCCTGCCACCGTCCTGTTCGCGTCGTGTTCCCGCGCCCTGTGCGTTGCACCAAGCACTCCTACTCCTATCAGGTCACGGTCATCGCCCGCGTCGCCCAACACTGGCCACGTGCTGCTAACCTCCGTTGCCGGCTCGTCTGCTGCGCATCCGCGCACGCTCGGAACTGCCCGTGTATCCTGCTCCGTCCAACCGGCGCGCATCATGGGACGATGCGCGCCATTCGCTAATTAGCCGATCACCATTGTCCTCTTTGTTGTTGTTTGTCTCCGTCAGCTCGGGCCATAGGTCCCATCCTTCCAACCCACTACAATATCTAGCTCGCCATATCCAACCATCCTTTACCCTTTGCTTACCTCTCCTTCGAGCCTCTATCTTCCAAGCTCGTCTTTTTCTTGCACAAGGCTTGCACCAACACTTCCCTTCATTAGCCTTTACTTTGCGTTTCCTTCGAGCTTGCTTGGCCTTGTACTTCCTAGATTTAACCTTTGACTTTGGACCACATCCTTTTGGCCAATCTCTTACACAAGAAGGTCGATATATTGGACTTGATGGCTCCTTTAGCATGTTTTCCAACCATATGTTGAGATCTTCGCCACCCTCATCCTCTGACTCGCCTGGGTTGATGACCACTTCCGTATCATTACCCTCCTCTTTGAGACTTTCCTTGTCCTCAAGGATTTGAAAATTCAATGCACCATCATCAGCATTGTTTTGGACATCGACCACCATTGCTTCTCGGGCTTCTACGATTTGTCGCTCGTATTCTTCTCCGTTCCTGCGCTCATGAAGCTCATCTAGATATGTTTTCTCCCAAGGCGTGAGTTCTCTTTCCAAACCCTCCAACATCTCAAGATCTTCCCAATCTAACTCATCCAATGGTAAGTAAGGCATTTCTTTTTTTACTCTCTTGGAAAAAATCAAACCGAA